CCGCAGGGTGGAGGGGAGATAAATATATGGTTAAAGATAAAGAATCCCCACTGCTGACCTAACCGGTATAGCCACAGAATGATTCTCTGATGCAATGCAGTACCATGAGGGTGCCTACAGATGACCACAGTGGCAGGACAGAAATGTAGGGAAGGCGGTCCTTCCTCAGATCAAGTTATTTATGGTTTTATAAACTAGTGGCAAAATATTAAATGTGGCCCAGTAGCATAATGTGCAGTACTGTCAGAAAGCAGAAGTAGCTAGAAGTCATGCTACCGCCTTCTGCACTTGCCTGCTGCTTTCTTGGACCAACCATAAGGGGAGCTCCACATAAAATGCAATAATCCAGTCTTGAGGTCACCAGTGCATCATCCACTGTAGCTAAAATATCCCTATCCAAAAATGGTTGGACTTGACACATGGCTGGAAGCTGGTAAAAAGCATTCCTAGTCATTTGAACCTCCATGACAATGATGGATCAAAGAATCCTCCCAGACTACAAACATGCTCCTGCAGACGGAAGGTAGCTTCATCCAGAACAGGAAACTGACATATTTCTCATATAGCATAACCAATCATCCACAGGCCTCTGTCTTGCCAGAATTGTATTACATCTGTCCACCATGGTGAACAGAATGCTTCATTCTGCATGCAGATTTCTCAGAGGGAACTGAAGCAGGCTGAACAAGCCTCCACTTTCTGAACTCCCAGATCCAGTACAGGTACTAATTTGTTTAGCCATTTGTCCAATAAACATCATGCCAATCTTCCGACTTTCTCCCAGTCTTAAAATATCTCCTGTAAGCGGTGTTTATTATAGTAGCAATGGCAGGAACAGCAGCTTTAAAAAACAACAACAAACTATTCTGCATTTAAACATTAAAGGTGTGGTATGCATTTGTAGTGCTGCAGTAAATGCAGAGATGGAGAACTGGAGGCAGAATGGGGAGGAGGAGGAAGTGTGTCAGGACCAAAATTTCCTGCATTTTGAGGCTGGACTGTACTGAGGTTGGAATCTGCCTGTCTTGGGAGACAATGGAGGAGTGTACTTTTGGGGGGTTGGGTCAAGCTGTTGGATGATTTTAGTGACTGCTGTAGAGAGCAATGTGGGAGAGACCTGTTTTGTTGCAGCTGGGGCAGATGAAGGCGTCCCACTGGGACTATGATGTTTCTTCTCTCTGTGCTCCTACCAGGGGTCATTTCTCCTGTGGTCACTGCTATGGATGCACAATTTGATTGCCTATCTCCAGGCATTGCGGTCAGTGCTGGATTTATGTATAAGCTAAACAAGCTATAGCTTAGGGCCCCAATCTCTTGGGGTCCCCCCAAAAAATTAAAGGAAAAAACAACTGGATGTACATTTCCAAAATATAAGATAAAAAACAAATAAAATAAAACCTACATGCAGCAACATTGTTTTGTGTTGTGTAGGCTCCTATGATGTACATATTTTGTTATGTGCAAATGGCTTTAGATATCCATTAAGTCCATAAATTACCATATAGCATATATTAAACACAAAAAACAGTGACAATTTGTTGTTGACAAAGGACAGCTGGACATATATTAAGCCCCATTACCTTCAGTAGCTTAAAGGTAAAGGTACCCCTGCCCGTACGGGCCAGTCGTGACCGACTCTGGGGTTGCGCGCCCATCTCGCTTAAGAGGCCGGGGGCCAGCGCTGTCCGCAGACACCTCCGGGTCACATGGCCAGTGTGACGAAGCTGCTCTGGTGAGCCAGCACCAGCGCAGCACACGGAAACGCCGTTTACCTTCCCGCTATAAAGCGGTCCCTATTTATCTACTTGCACTTGGGGGTGCTTTCGAACTGCTAGGTGGGCAGGAGCTGGGACCGAATGACGGGAGCTCACCCCGCCGCGGGGATTCGAACCGCCGCCCATACGATCGGCAAGTCCTAGGCTATGAGGTTTTACCCACAGCGCCACCCGCGTCCCATTTTCAGTAGCTTAGGGTCTCATTAAACCCAAATCTGGCCCTGATTGTGGTTGTCTGCAAGTGCCTGGAGACTTGCATGGTTGATGTTACCAGCCTTCTTGTCACATTTGCAGACATCTCTGTAATGCAGAGTTGGTCTGCCAATTGGCCTGGTGCTGGAAACACATCCTTGGGAATCCTGACATCTTCCTCTCTGTGGACATGACCATGCCAGCATCTACATCGCTGAGACAGGAATGTGAACATGCTGGGAATGTGAGCACATCTTTGTTTGGAATTCTGTCTTGTCATTTGATCCTCCAAATCCTCCTGACATGGCTCATGTGGAAGGCATTGAGACATCACTCCAAATAGGTTGTAAGTTGCCCACAACTCACTTCTATAAAGCAGCATGCTCAAGACGCAAGCCTGGTAAACTTTTATCGTGGTATTGGACATTAGCATCACGTTCTCCCATACCCTTTTGGAGAGGTGAGCCACTGCCATAGCTGCCTCACCAGCTCAACGTTGATGGAGAGATTGCTGGTTATGGTGGAACGTAGGTAGACAAAATTGTCAACACCTCAAGTGTGTGATCACCAATGCTGATGTGTGGTGTGCTGGCAATGTCCTGACCTAAGATATTGGTCTTCATCAGGCTATGGGTAAGGCTGAACTCCCTGCAGGCTTGGGCAAAATGGCTGATGAGTCTCTGTAGAGATTCATTGGAGTGTGCTGTCAAGTCTGCATCATCTGTGAACATCTCTCGGATAAGGATCCACCACATTTAACTTTCTCCCTTTCCCTGTAACATCTGATAGTCCAGACCTGATTTCCCTCCAACATTATTCATCCTATGCTAGTGGCAGCCAATCACGCAATCACAGAATTAGATTCAAAAGTCATCTAGTCAGACCCCTCCCAGTGCAGGAAATCTACCATTCCAGCATCCCTGACAGGCAGTCACCCGGCAGCTGCTAAAAATATTGCAAATGAAGAAGAGCCCACCACTTCCTGATCCTGTCTGTTTCACAAGCATACTGCCAGAAAGTTGTTTGGTCTGAATATTTCTTCCCTTGCAGGAGAAGAGGCATAATGTGGGGTAAGAAATTAGGACCCTACATGGAGAAGGCACATAATAGCACTAGTAAAGATTAGAGGGAGACCCTCACATTGCATACTGCCTAACATGGTCAGTAAAGAGTATGAAAATTGCATCTCTCTTAAAATAAGCAGAGAACTACAATACAGTACCATTTTTCCTAGGGGTGGGTTATCCTGTTATTTAATCCCATCCCAGCTGGTGGGTTCATCTGTATTGTGAAGAAATGTGCCGGAGAAAACAATTTAAAGTCAGTAAGAAGAGAGACTAAGGATGGCAAGACAGACGTAAGTAATCAAATTAAGAATATTATAGAATTTCAATTTTGGGGGGAAAGGCACAACAGACATTTCTGCCCTTGTGAGAAATAAGCTATGGCTTGCTGAGAAAGAAGAGGACCTTTTTAAAGCAGAGAAGTGGAAGTAGCAGGAGGAAACATCTTCAACTATGTCTGAATGAGAATGCAGAACAGAAACAAAAATGCAATCAGGCTAGATTCTAAAAGAAAGCCAAACAGGTGCACAATACTAAAGTGTTTTAGGAGCTTCCAAGCACTTTTCACTCAGGCCCAGCTCATTTCTCAGCAATCTATCGAACAACCTAGAATGTAGGTTTTCCACTTACTGTTAGGGCCACTTTGTGAATTCTCCATCAAAGTAAGATTTGAACTAGCATCTAGCTGGCCTCATACAAGAATGCAACACTCAGCACATTTACTCAGAACAAAGTCCCATTGACACAATGACACCTGTTTGGAAAGCAGGGGAGGGGGCTGCAGGGGGGTACATTGTACTCCTGCCCAGGTTCAAAAAGGGGATCTGGGAGGGAAATTGTGATGTTTGGCATATTTTTTTAGTTGCTGCTTCGTTAAGTGTTTTATAGATTGTAATTGTTTCATTGATGATTTGTTAATTGTTTTATGATTTATGCTGTATTTCTGATGTTCTATTATGTTCTTGTTATTTTTGTTTGTAAGCCGCTTTGAGATTCATTTGAATAAAAAGCAGCATGGAAATATAATAAATCAAATCAAATATCAAGTTAAAGCCATTAGATCTAGTAAACTTGTGACCTGTTTCCAAATGTTTGTGTTAATTGTATTAAGTATACTATTGACAATTTCAGCAACAGTAGTTTCTGGAGAGAGGTTGTTTAGCAAATTTTAGCTAATTAATAATTATCTACAATGTCTCAGAAATGTCTTGTGGATTTGGCTAGGCTAAGTGTTGAATCAAACATTGCCAAAGCAATTGATTTTCATGCGGTAGTTTGAATTTTTTCATAAAAAAGGCCAAAAAAGGTCTTTTAAAAAAAGTAAATAGTAAGTTAATCTTTTTTCTTTCTTTTTTTACTAATGCTTATGTCTTCTGATGATCTGATCTGCACTGCAATATAAAAGGATGTTTCAATCTGAATTATTTTTCCTCATCTGTACATAAACAAAGGTGTGCGAATTGAATGTGCTTTCTTGTTTCTGACCCTCTTTTATTTATATTTATGTATATTTTTGTGGAGGAAGTTTGGGAGCACAAGGCCTCAAAGGCAGAAAACTGACAGAGGGACCCCCTCCGGCCCCCTCTCGCCCCCCAGGCCCTTTTCAACCTCACAGGCCACAGGAATGATGGAAAGTCAGCGCCACCAACGTCTCCCGGCTCTCTGCATTTATATGCAGAACGACGTTAGCAGGCTTTAGCTGTGGGAAGGGAATAAAACACGAGGAAGCCATAAATCTGAAGGCTCCCGAAAGCCTCTTGGGCCCACGGGGCGAAATCGGAAATGTGGAGCTTCAAGCCCTGCCACAAAATGGCTGCCCTGCAGGAGGAGATTTCCAGTCCCCCTTCCTTCCTCTGGGATGCTTCAGTATTCCCCCTTCACACACACACACACCCCCGTCCCCTCTCACAGCAGCTCCATTCCCTGACCCTCTTCCAGCCCCATGGCTGCTTGATTCCTGCCCCCTTACCTCTCTCGCCCTCTTCCACACAGCGCAAGCGCAGCTGCCCCGTCCGGCTCGGCCTCTTCCCTTCCCCCACCTCCAGGGAGAACCAGCTGGGCCTCCTTCTCCAAGGCTGGGAGCGAAGGCAAGGAGGCCCTGGGGCCAAAATCTGGGCCCCCCACAGCCCGGGGGCCCTCCAAACGGCCACCCAGAGAGCAGCAGACAGTGGGGGCCCTGGCAAACAGGCCCTGCAATCGGCACCACGGGCTGGATTTTCCAGCTTTCAAATTCCAAAATTGAGAGGTGCTAAAAAATTGTACCACGACGTGGAAATGCAAAATACACTTGGGTCAAATTAATATAATTTAGTTTTGCTTGGTGAGTAAAATTTGTGTGAAATGGCACAGAAATCATTAAAAAAAATACTTGCAGTTGTATACTTATTCTTATGCATTACCTGACATTTTCAGAAGGTAAAATTCAAATTCTTTTCCGAAAGCAGTTTATGTGCTTCTGCATCAAACGTCGACTGACCAAGCTAAATGTTGTCCAATCACAAAAGTAACTGCAGATTTGAAATTCTCACACTCAAAAACTTGGGGATACATAACCTCTCAACTACGTAACAAGGGGGATGGGGGATGATATATATATGACAGTTGACATAAAAAGGTTATGTCACACTGTGTCAAAATGATATTTCTTTTAAAAACACCAAACTACTCTTGGACGCTAGCTTAGATGTTTAGAGTACAGTGGTACCTCAGGTTAAGTACTTAATTCGTTCCGGAGGTCCGTACTTAACCTGAAACTGTTCTTAACCTGAAGCACCACTTTAGCTAATGGGGCCTCCTGCTGCCGCTGCGCCACCAGAGCACAATTTCTGTTCTCCTCCTGAAGCAAAGTTCTTAACCTGAAGCACTATTTCTGGGTTAGCGGAGTCTGTAACCTGAAGCGTATGTAACCTGAAGCGTATGTAACCCGAGGTACCACTGTACAACAGATCAGACACAGGGCATCAACCTGTTAAAGGAGAAACCTTATGTTATGTAGTGTAGTTTCACCCTGGGCCAACAGGGGGATACTGTATATAGTTTTCACTCAGGTCTGTAGATAGTTTTCACTCAGGTCCGCGGCAGTTATTTTAGGCGGGAACTCTGGGCTGTTGTGGTTACAATGTTGACAGCCGGCTGCCTATAAATACAGGCCGGCTGAGCTGTTCGCAGTCAGTTCTATTCCAGCTTACTATAATAAAGAACTACTTGAAGAAATCGCTGTGCCGGCTGCTATGTCAACCCACGACTTAACTCTGGCGACGAGGATGGGATGGATGGACATCAGAGCACAGCCAGATGCGGCCAGCCTCTGAACTAAGCTGAATCACTGAGCTGAATCACAGAGCGAAATCACTGAGCGGAATCACTGGGCAGAACCAATTCAGAGCTGACTGTTCTGGCTAGAGCACTGTGTTCCATCCATCGCCCTTCACGCCGGCATCGGAATCATGGCTTCACTTGTGCCTCTACCGCCGTTTGCGCCAGCCTCTGAATCATGGGACTCCTACCTCGCTCGGTTCGACTGCTACCTCCAAGCCAACGAGCTGACAGCAGTATCGAAGGATCGGAAGCGGGGCCTATTCCTCAGCCTCTGTGGGCCTGAAGTGTTTGAGACGGCCCGAGCGTTGGTTGCGCCTGAAGCAGTCCAGGCAACACCATGGGACACGATCCAAGAGAAGCTCCGCAACCACTACGCACCAAAGCCGTCCAAGATTGCTGCCCGCCATGCGTTCTACCACCGGAACCAGGCAGAGGGGGAGTCAATCAACAACTACACCACCGCCCTGCGACAGGCTGCAATGCACTGTGAGTTCCGAGACTTAGACGATGCCCTGATGGATCGAATCGTCTGCGGGGTCCGGGACATCCATCTGCAACGGCGCCTCCTAGCCAAGCCAGACCTCACGCTACAGAAAGCCATTGAGGAAGCTGTGGCCTCAGAAGCTGCTGAACGCTCCGCCCAGGATATCCGCAAGTCCAGCAGCCCGCGTCTTGCTAGGGAACCAGTTCCGGTGCATCATGATGAGGCCAGCAGTGAAGAGGCATCCTCCAGTGAAGACGATGACGTGCACCAGACAAAGCGGGAGCGCAGGAAGTTCCAACAGAGGTCCAAGGGCCAACCGGAATGTGCTGGCTGCGGAGGCAACCATTCCCGTGCCAAGTGTCGATTCAGAGACGCCATCTGTAGGAAGTGTTCCAGAAGGGGCCACATCGCTAAGGTCTGCCGATCGGCTCCGTCTGACACCCCCCCTTCATCGACTCGCAAGTCCAAGTCTTCACTCCAGTCTGCCAAGGAAAGTTGTTTCGCTCTCACCAACTGCCGCTGCCCGTCTGGAACCACGATTGGCCAAACCGACTCGCCTACGCGACGCAAGCTGAACGTCACGGTGCTCATTGAAGGAGCTCCATGTGACATGGAGATCGACACCGGGTCTGCCCTGTCCATCGTGTCATGGAGCACCATCAAAAGACTGGTACCCAGAGTGTCCAAAAGGCAACTCGACTCTCACCGCGTACACCTGAGAGACTACCAGGGAAACGACATTCTCGTGGTAGGCGTTGGCCGGTTCCGGATCGCCTTCAAGGATTTTCGGGCCTGCTCCGGTTGGTGGTGGTCGAAGGTCAGCGGCCAAGCCTCCTAGGGCTAGACTGGTTTGATGCCCTCGGCCTGGAAGTCACCGGCATCAACTGCATCTCTAACGCAGAGACTGAGGGTCTGGTCAAAGACTTTGCTGAGGTTTTTGACGGCACCTTGGGCCAATATACAGGTACGCCCATCTCCTTTAGCCTTGATCCACAAGTCGCCCCCATCAAGCTAAAGCCTCGCCGGGTTCCCTTTGCTCTCAAGGCTAAGGTGGACGAACAACTGGACAAACTGATCGCCCAAGGAGTTTTGGAGCCGGTTGACCACGCAAAGTGGGAAACCCCCATCGTCACGCCTGTCAAGCCAGATGGGTCGGTGAGAATCTGCGCTGACTACAAGTGCACGATCAACAAGGCACTTCAGCAGCACGCTTATCCGGTTCCTGTTGTCCAACACCTGCTGCATTCCCTGGGTGAGGGTAAGGTCTTCGCTAAGCTGGACCTTGCCCAAGCCTATCAACAACTGCCAGTCGATGATGCCACTGCTGAAGCCCAGACGATCGTCACCCACCGGGGGGCATTCCGTTGCCGCCGGTTGCAGTTCGGGGTGAGTGTGGCTCCTGGCATCTTCCAAAGCCTTATGGAGCGTCTCCTGCAAGGGCTTCCGGGCGTGGTACCATATTTTGATGACGTCTTGGTGTCTGCAGACTCACACCAGCAGCTGTTCGAGCGCCTCCGTGCCGTGCTGACCAGGTTCCAGGAGGCCGGGCTCAAGGTAAAGAGGGAGAAGTGCCAGATCGCCGTTCCACAGGTAGAGTTCCTGGGCTATCTTATCGATGCCTCCGGTCTTCATCCAACCACATCCAAGATCCGCGCTATCCAGCAGGCCCCCACCCCAAAGAACAAAACGGAGTTGCAGGCATTCCTGGGGCTGCTGAACTTTTATAACATGTTCCTGCCCCACAAAGCCACAGTGGCTGAGCCTCTTCACCGACTCCTTAGCACTAAGACGCCTTGGGCCTGGGGTCATCGGGAGACGGCGGCCTTCAACGCGGTCAAGGCTCTCCTTTCTTCAGACAGTGTGCTGGTACAGTACAGTGAATCCAGGCCGCTGGTCCTTGCCTGCGACGCCTCACCTTTTGGCATCGGTGCTGTCCTTAGTCACCGTTTTCCAGATGGAAGAGAAGCACCGCTCGCCTACTTTTCCAGGACTCTATCTCCGACGGAACGGAATTACAGCCAGCTCGACAAGGAGGCATTGGCACTTGTGGCTGGAGTGAAGAGGTTCCATGAATACCTCTATGGCAGGACTTTTGACCTCATCACTGACCACAAGCCACTCCTGGGCCTCCTCGCCGGTGATCGTCCAACTCCACCGGTCCTCTCACCACGCATGCTGCGCTGGACTGTTTTCCTGGCTGCCTACCACTACCGGCTCATCCATCGCCCGGGGAAATCGATGGGCCATGCCGACGCCCTCAGCCGTTGCCCTCTTCCAGCATTTGTGGAAGACCCGGCTCCAGCTTCATCACTCCTTCTGATTGAGGATCTTCCGGCAGCGCCTGTATCGGCTGCCACTGTGGCCTCCGCATCTGCCCAGGATCGCACCATCAGCCGGGTGCTCAACTGGGTGTGGAGGGGGTGGCCACAAGGGCCTTTTGCATCGGAGTTCCAGCCCTTCGCAACCAGACAACATGAACTCTCAGCTCATCGCGGCTGTCTGCTGTGGGGAGACCGCGTCGTGATTCCCCAGGGACTCCGTCAGCGCGTCCTGGAGGCTCTGCACGTTGGCCACCCGGGAATTGTCAAAATGAAGGCGTTGGCTCGGTGTTACGTCTGGTGGCCTAATATGGACGATGCCATTACTGCCTGGGTGTCCGCCTGTCAAGCGTGCCAGGAGTCGAGGCCTGCACCACCGGCAGCTAAGGGACACACCTGGGAGACGCCAAAGACACCCTGGTCGAGGGTGCACATCGATCTGGCTGGCCCCTTTCACGGCCGGACCTTTATGGTAGTGGTGGACGCCTATTCCAAATGGCTGGAGGTCGCCCTGATGCCCTCCACCACTACCGAAGCTGTCATCCGGGTGCTGCGAGGCCTGTTTGCAACGCATGGGTGTCCTGATGTCCTTGTCTCTGACAACGGACCGCAGTTCACGTCAGGCACGTTTGAGCGGTATCTTTTGGGACTGGGCATCCGCCATGCCCTAACGGCACCCTTTCATCCATCCAGCAACGGGCAAGCGGAAAGAATGGTGCGCTCGACAAAAGAGGCACTGGCGCGCCTGGACCGGGGAGACTGGCATGAGCGGGTCGCCAAATACTTGTTCGTGCAACACATCACCCCTCATGCGGCCACAGGGAGGAGTCCTGCTGAACTGCTTATGGGCCGCCGCCTCAGGTCACCGCTCGACCGGCTACACCCAGACTTTGCCGTGGCTGAACCCCCAGGCTGTGCCAACGCACCACGGTCATTTGTCCCAGGAAACCAGGTCTTTGCCCGGA